ATCACTATAAGCTACTATTTTAAAAATTGCGGCTTTTTTAGAATTAGTTTTTTTATTAATAAATTATAATGACATTTTGTCTCGTTTATTTAGAATCAGAAAGAATGCCAGGTTTCCTGCCTTAATCTCCAAAACTTATAATTCTTTCTTGTCTCATCTTTTGGATCATCAATATACTCACTATTATTGTTGAAGAGTCTTACTATATAGATTTAGATTCACTCATATTTTTCATCTATAATGAGAAAAAGGGAATATTTTGTTATGAAACTTTAGCAGCAGTTTTTATGTAATTTTAGGATTTAGCTAATATTTTTTAGTTTAAGTAAATAATTGTAATAAAGAGTTTAGAAAATACTTAGAGATTGTACTGTTTAAATAACTCAGAAGAATAATTGACTCTTTAAAAAACTGGATAATTGACGATGAAAATTCCATAATGAACTTTTATTATTTATAAAATAAACAACAACAGTTATTAGATTGAAGTCTGCCTTATCATTTAATATAATATTGTTGACCTAATTATTTTCATTTTTCCTTATATATTTTTATTATAATCTCTATATGAAATTTGCTAATAAATTTATATTCGATTAATATTTTTGCTAAATATTATGGAAATAATACATTCTATGAAGCATTCATGAATTTTTTAACAAACACAACTGAGATATACATATTTTCATTAAAATTGTCTCTAATTATGTCATCAATCATAGGAATTCTTCTTGTTTATGATTTACCAATAGATTTTCGGAATGGCATTTTTAATAAAGATTTACCAAAAAATAAAGGTGAATGAATACTGATTGATATGATTATATTTTTAATAAATCAAACTTGTATATTGGTAAAATCAACTGATGAAACCAATTGTAAAGCTTACTGACTGATGGCTTATTCTCTTTAGAATTCATTTTTAGTATCATTGTAGATTTAAACTTCATCTGCATAAAGATCATTTTCTAATTGAAGTTATTATTCATAAGAGGCTTAATCAGCAGCTCTTTAGTCTCTGAAAAGTGTAACTTAATCAATTTTCTCTTAGATAATAATAAATTGAAATACCTAAAGTTGCAGTTAAATCAACATTGAGAGCATTGATTTATCTTTAGAATTCAGCATATTCAGCATCTAATTATTATATTCTGGCTTCAAATGCTTCCTAATCTTAAACTTCTTATAAAGATAAATCATTAACAGAATCAACAATAGCATTTCTAAATTCATTCAAAGTATTAACAATTTGACTTAAGACTCCTTAATCAGAAAAGTTTTGATTTGAAGCTAATGTGATTAGAGCCTTTAAGAAAGGAGCCATTTTGCTTCTTGGTTTAATACTTGATTCTATCTTTTTAAGTGAATTTTAGAACTTCTTAACTTAAGCCAATGATGGATTATTGAGTGTAGATAAAAGTGTTAAAGCATCATCAACTGAAGCAGTAGCATCATTTAATTCTTATACTTAAGCTTCATATGCTTCATGTTCTTATTCTCTTGTTAAATTTTCTTCATCTACTTTTTATCTATTTTATTCTTAATATTCTTCTAAAGCAGCAATTCTAAGTTCTAATTATTCTTTTCTTGGAATTAATAAGTTTTCAATAACATCATCTGATCTACTAACATCAATTAATGCTGATTATATTTATTGATTAAGTTAAACAAGTAATGAATTATGTTCATTTGTTCTGCGTTAAAAATTGAAATCTAATAATTCAAGGCCATCCTCTAAATCATTAACAAGCTCTTCAATTGCATCTAATAACTCTTATACTGATCCTCCAGCCATTGAATGTAATTCAACTAAATGAAGTAAAGCTCTTCCATAATTTGTCTTCTATAATTCAGCTTACAATTTTTAAGGACTTTAACTCTTTATCTTAGCACTTGTTGCTAAAGAAATTACCAACATCAAGATCACTACTCTCATTTTTTAATATTATTATTATTATCACATTACCGTTTTTCATTATATATCTCTCATTAATAATCTTAAACATCACTTCCTCTAATACTCTTCATTTTATATGTAGATTATATTCTCAAAATCAATCATTTTTCATTTGTGCTAATCAATCTCCTTTCTCATTAATTTGTATTATTTCTTAGTTGTTAATAAATTAATATAAAATCCTTTAAATCATTTATTTTTTATATTTCTTACATGTTTTTATATTTTATGTTTAGTTTTTTTAAATATTATTATTATTATCTTTACACTCTATTTTATGTTCCTAAATATACTTTTAATTGAATTAAAATAATAGTAGAATTATAATGAAACTATGGATTTAATCAAATTCATTTAAATATATTTACAATATTAAAAATAAAAAATGGACTATGAAGAAGAATATGATGGAGAGGATTACTATTAAGATTCAAATTCATACTATCAACCTCAACTTCTTTAAAGAAACTCATCCATTAAGTTTATATTTTTAATATTTAAAGTTAGGAAACTCTTGAATTACAAGATGTTATGGAATATATAGATCAATTGATCAACAATATAGGAGAATTATTAAATTTTGATTCTGATAACACTTATGAAGTATCAAGATTATAAAATTTAGATATTAATGTTTTATAATTGGAACAAAGATAGAATCGAGAGTGAATACCATGAAAAAATTATAGAATAACTGTAAAAACAAGGCATTTTAAATAATCATTCAGCTATTTCTTACGAAAACAATACAACTAGTTGTCCTTTATGTTTAGAAATTACTACTATGGTTAAATTAGGATGTGGACATTTATTTTGCCATAGTTGTGTTACACATACAATTGCTTAAAGATTTTCAAAAGAATAATTTTTGGTAATTCCTTGTCTATAATATGGATGTAAATATAGATTACCAATTTCAATGATTAAAAAATTTTCTAGACCAGAGGATTTTTAAAAAATAGTTTGCCGAAAATTTATTGATACTAATAAATCACTTGCATATTGTTAAGGAGTTGATTGCAAGAAAATATTAAGACCAAAAGATTTATCAATAACTACTGTTACATGTCCTTGTGGAACATCATTTTGTTTTAGATGTAAAAATGAATTCCATCTTCCTGTTCCTTGTGATATGGCTAAAACCTGGGTTTCTGAAATAACTAAAAATGAAGCCAATATAAAATGGATAGTTCTCAATACAAAAATATGCCCTTTTTGTAAAAGACCTGTTGAAAGATCTGACGGATGCAATTATCTAATGTGCAAACCTCCTGGAGGTTGTGGAAAGGCTTTTTGTTATGTTTGCTCTAATCCTTGGGAACCAGACCATAAAGATCATTTTAAATGTAGCAAATATGTTCCCCCTTCTAATAATTTAGAAAGAGAAAAAGAAATATTAGCTAGATATAACTTCTATTATGAAAGATTTTTAAATTCTCATTCTGGTGTTGAATAAAATTAAAAAAGGTTAAAATAACTTAAAGAAAAACATTATTAAGAAATATAAGATATTTATGAAGTTACTAATATTGAAGCTGGATTTTTGGAAACTGCTCTCAAAGAATTAATTTAATCCAGACAAGTTTTAAAATGGTAAATAATGCTATTTAATTTAGGACTTATTGTCTTGGCTTTTTCATATCCTAAACTAACCCTAATTCTTCGAAGTTATTTGACAATTATCAGAAAGATTTTGAACATTCTTGTGAATAATTAAGTTAAATTTGCATGTAACTTTTTCATGAGTTAGAAAAAATGTAAAATTAATTTACAAGAACATAAATTTCATTAGAAACAAGAAGAATAGATTTCTTTTAAAGAAAAGAGCAATTTCAAAAAATGTAAAATAGATGTAAATTATTGAGAGATAATTTATTAAAAGCTAGCGAAAATGGTGATATAATGAACTGATATATCTAGATATATAAATATATTAATAGATTTCGTATAACATTCTCAATTCATCTCAATAACTAATTTCATTTATGAATCATCATTAAATCTCTAGAAAAAAAATTTTGTCCTTTATTCTGAAATTTATTAAATAAATGTTGTTGAATCCAAAAATTTCATAGATTAAAAAATAAAAAAAGATATAATCCACATTAGTACATCTATATAAAATAAATAGATGAATATTTCATACAATAAAATAATATTATCTCCAATTTATTATTGAATTCAAAAGTTTTCGAAAAATAACTTATAACAATATATTCGAATTAAATTAAAGAATAATATCTATAATTAACAAATATTAAATAGATACCTCTTAAATTGGAATTATCAATTTATTTGATTTGAATAGTTTTTAATAAATTATTTTAAAATTACATTTGAATTAGAAAAATATTATAGTAAAAATTATATTAATCTAGATAAATTGTAAATTAAATAATAAAAATAATTATATTATAAATTAAATTAGATTAATAATGAAATCAAATATGTTAATTTATTTTCAAAAATAAATATTGATTTATATTATATTTTAATATTTCAACTTAAATTTTTTAATAATCATTGAATATATATTATTATCTATGTCATATTTTTTCTGATTATTGAAAAATTTATTTATTAAAATATTTTTTGAAACTATTCCATACTTTCTCTTGGGTTTAGTTATGGTGAGTAAGGTGGCAAAAACAAGTATGAAACAGCTCCCAAAAGGGATTTTATTTTCTTACTTTTATGGATGGGACTATTTCCAATATTACAAGGAAGTTACAATCCAGATAATGCATTTTTGAAATCTTTATTAATTCTAATAAGTGTTAAGCATAAAGATTAGAATTTACATTTCCTCGAACAACTTGATAAGCAATGAAACCATCTTGACCTATGGCTCCTAAAACTCCTATGTTTCCCGTATAATTTTAGGTTATTCTATACTTTTATTTTTTTTTTATTTACCAACACCTTAATTATTTACGCTAGTGACCTCCTTTTTTTCAAAGATTACCGCTTTTCTTTTAGATTCCATAATTCTAATTCACATTCCTGTAAACTTAATTGTTTAATAGACTCTTTTTCTTAATATAAAATTCTGCTTTGAAAAAGTTTAAATAACTAACAGCCGATGTTGCATTACATATGACAAACATTAACCTTTTACACATATTGCTCTTTTTTTTTTAAAATTATAATATAATCTATCGTTGTAATTACAAACATTTTTTACGAAAGTTTAAGTCGATAAAGGAGATGCAATTTTTTATTTTCCTACAATTAAATGTATTTTTTTCATTTCAAAACTTAAATTAACACTTCAAAAAAAATATATATACTGCATTAAAATGGTACTTATACAATTTCATAGCGATCAATTTATATTTGATATTATATATAATACCTTATCATATTATATTAAAATAGGCAATATCATTTGAGGAAGCAAATTATGTTGTTGGTGGTATAGAGGCAATGCACTCAGCATTAGTACTAAAATATTACTAGATGCCTGATCTTACTTCTTCCGTAGTGACATGAGAATACTTATTGAATGTTGCATTAGAAAAATGCTTCAGAATAGATAAGATAATGTGAAAATTGGATAATTTTTCAAAAAGGTAAGTAAGATAATGTTGTTTTCTGAGTTAGAGAAAATATCAACTTAGGATTTACGCTTGAAAAATTGCCTGATAAAAAGTGGCTCACAAATGTTCTTCACACATTAAATAGAGAAAATATTATATTTTAAAAATATTTTGATTCAGATAAGGTGATTGGAATTATTAGGGACGATCTATAGTATTTTTTGAATATAAAAATCTTTGGATACCTCATTAGGACTTAAAAAATAAATCAAATTTTTTTAAAGAACTCACTAATAAGTTGAGGAAAGAAAATATAGAATTTCTAAACAAAAACTACAGAATATACGAACAAAGTTAAAAAGAAAAAAAATTGAATAAGAAAAAATTGAGTTAAAAAAAAGAGATATATTATTACACTATAGAATTAGAATTAACCTTAAAGTTAATAACAATAAGATATATTTAGAAAGCAAAAACAATGATTCTATTTATCAATTTCAAAAACTTTATAATAATTGTTTAATTATTAAATATAAAAATGAAAGTGGAAAGACAAGAGAAAAATCTATGACAATAATTCAGAAGCAAAAGTAAAAGTATAGAATAACCTAAAATTATACGGGAAACATAGGAGTTTTAGGAGCCATAGGTCAAGATGGTTTCATTGCTTATCAAGTTGTTCGAGGAAATGTAAATTCTAATCTTTATGCTTAACACTTATTAGAATTAATAAAGATTTCAAAAATGCATTATCTGGATTGTAACTTCCTTGTAATATTGGAAATAGTCCCATCCATAAAAGTAAGAAAATAAAATCCCTTTTGGGAGCTGTTTCATACTTGTTTTTGCCACCTTACTCACCATAACTAAACCCAAGAGAAAGTATGGAATAGTTTCAAAAAATATTTTAATAAATAAATTTTTCAATAATCAGAAAAAATATGACATAGATAATAATATATATTCAATGATACTCTATTTAGAGATGGCTTTTCAAATTTTGAATATTTTAATTTATTAGATGAATATATTAAAATAAATAAACTTATAAATCTTGAATCATTTAACAGTAGATTGTTTGAAACAAAAAAAATTATAACTTTTTTGTTGATAATATTATGATTTTTTCAAAGTATTTATCTAATTTTTATTATATAACTTTTACAAATTTAATCTTATTTTAGGAATCAATTTTATCGAAAAATAAACAAATTATTATTAATCCTCTATTTTATATTAAATTTAATGAAAATTATAAAAATTATTATTTACTTAAATCTTTAACTTTAAATTTAAATTAATAAAAATTATAAAAATTATTATTTTAGCTTTATAACGTGATATAATATTTAATTAACATGAAATATATAAAAATAAATTAATTTTAATATAATTTAGACATTTGAAATTTAACTTAAAATGTCCAATTATTAGATTTAAAACAACATCACACCAACTGTAGTTAATTGCAAACACCTTCATTAACCAAACTCAAACCCAACCCCAACCCCAACCCCAAAAATATAATTTTTTCATATTTATTAAAAATTATGCTTAATATTTTTATAATGTAAGTTTAGAAAATTATTGAAAAAAAAATAGAGAAGATATTGAATTTATTGAAATCTTTTTATATTTTACTCTCTATAATTTCTTTTCGGATTTTTTATATAATTCATTAACTAATATAATATTTTTTGAAAATAATAAAGAAATAGAAATATTTCAACTCCAAAAGTTAAATGATATAATTTGAGTGTTTTCATAGTTCTAAATTTAATAAACAAAATAAATCCAAAATCTAAGTTATGATGATGAATGATTAATGTATAAAAATAAAAAAAAATGAATGTATAGAATTAATTCATAAAAATAAAGTTTGATTGTTTGTGATATAAAAGGGAACTATCTATGCAATTCTTTGGAGCCACGCATGATTATATGCTTGTTAAGCAGTAAATCTATCTCGAGAAAGTCTTTTCATAAGATTTTCAATGAAATCTTTTAAATCTCTAGATGCCGTGTAAGGAATCATAAAACAAGCCTAAAATAATAATTATGATTACAGTTTTCATTAATTCTTATTAATTTTCTTTCCAAGGGGGTTTGCCAAAACATAATTCATAAGTTAATACTCCCAAACCCCAGATATCACTTTTTTTATCATAAGTATCTCCTTCTAGAATTTAAGGGGATGCATAAATAATGGTTCCACATTGAGTTTATCTCTCTTCATCTGGAGAATACACACAAAAAGAGAAATCAGCTAATTTAACTTATCCAAAACTTAAAAGGATATTATCAGGTTTGATGTCTCGATGAATAACATCTTGATTATGAATGTACATAAGTGCAAATGTAATTTATTGAACATATTATGCTGCTATTCTTTCTTAAAACCTTTTTATTGGTTGCATTTGTTAAAGTGTATTCAATTATCCATGTGGACAATATTCTAAGACTAATACAATTTCAGTAGCTAAATTAAGATGGAAAATTTACGAGTTTAAAAAAAGGTATAGAGTCTAGTAATATTTGGATGTTCGAGAAGGTATTGTATTTTAATTTCCCAAGCTAACTATGCTTGCATATTTTCTTTTATAATTTGTGCTTTTTGAATAACTTTCAATGCAACTAGAAAACCTGTTTCTATGTGTTTTGCTAGAAACACTTAGCTATATTATCCATCTCCTAGTTTTTTAATAATTGCAAAATTCTTATATTTTTCTTTAGGTCTATCTTATTTTTTAATTGGAGAACTTGTTTAACTAAGAGGAGTAGAAACTTATTTCTTATTACTTAATAAGATTTATACTTTAGTATATTCTTCTCTAACATTAGACATTAAAGGAATAAGTGGGATTACAGGAGGGATATCTTATTGAAATGATAAGGATTCAACTTTTTTTGGAGATTAGTATTCATATTTTGATTTTAAAGTAGGTTAAATAACCATAGACTTTTGGGAAAGGATTAAAGGAGAATTGTTTTTGTTTTTTATATCTATATCAGTTTTAATTGAGTTTGCTTAGTAGGATTCATACCTTGGTTATGAGTCCGATTAGACAGAAGCATAATTATTCCTTGATTTTGTTAATACCGAGTCAACATATGTTTTTATGTTAGGATTATGCACAGATGTATTTGATAATCTTGAATATGGTCGATATGGTTGATAAGGATTATTCATTAAATTAATTTACGTAAGCATTATGTTTTGAAAATATTTATAACTCTTATATACTTTATTTTAAGACTATCTTCTGTTTGACATGATAATATTGCATTTTTTAAAGGTTCTGGAGATATTTTAGAATATTTATAGTATTATATAATAAAAATGATCTTAAATGGAAACTTATTAGCTAAAGAAACAATCTCTAGGATAGCTTAACTTATAAATTATCATATATTGAGTATTCAATAATAAAATTAAGGAACACCCTGCATTAATGAGACCTGGTTTAGCCATAATTTAGGTAGGAAAGAATCCATCATCTTTAACATATGTGCGCAAGAAGATTACTCTCTGTGAAGAAAATGAAGTACATCATGAACTATATCACTTCCCAGAAAATATTACTCAGCAAGAAATTGTTCATTAAATTAGAACTTTAAATTAGTAAGGATCCATTGATGGCATTCTTGTTCAAGTATATCTTATAATTATTATAAAAAGCTTCCATTGCCTCCCCATTTATCAAGATTAGAAATATCTAATGAAATTAAACCAAGTAAAGATGTAGATTGTTTACATATGGCTAATTTTTAAAATCTTCTTTAAAATGGTGAAGATAACGACATAATTCCATGTACACCAGCTGCAGTGCTTCATATCTTAGATACCTAAGAAATTGATGTGAGAAATCAAAATGTTACTGTCATTGGTAGAAGTCAGTTAGTTGGATTCCCATTATCTGTACTTTTACTTAGAAGAAATGCGAAAGTCACCATATGTCATTCTGAAACTACTGTACAAGAACATGTTGAAAAAGTACTTATATTTAATCAAACTATAGGCTGATATTGTGATTTCATGTGCTGGTCATAAAGAATTGGTTAAAGGAGATTGGATCAAAAATGGAGCCAAAGTTATTGATGTTGGAATTACTAGAATTCCTGGTACCAATAAAATTGTTGGTGATATTGAATATCAAAAAGTTTTAACATCTCATTATTTTAGGCGCTTCCTAAAGTCAGTTTCATCACACCCGTCCCTGGAGGAGTTGGTCCTTTAACTGTTTCCATGCTTTTTAAAAATCTATATCGGGTATGGTGTCGATCTAATGGATTAAAACTCAATATTGATGAATAAGATGAAGAAATGGATTATGCTTAAAACTACTAATTCTGAATTATTTTATAATTTTTATCACTTTTTAAAATTTATCTGTTTTTCTCAAATTCATAATTTGCATTAGAACAGTTATATTATTCTAAATTCATAGATATAATTACTCAATCATATAATCTAACCAAATAATCAAAATTTATAAAACTATTTTGATTATAGCATTTTTTAAATATTATTAAAAGTTATCTATGAAATTCCAATTATTATATGAGAAGATTATCCTTCTATTAATATTGCTTAAACTTTGATGAATATTAATTAAAATTCTAACCATATATTTTAATGTAAATTATAATAATTCAAATTTCTTGTAATATTATATCCTTCATTTGAAAAAGTAAATAATGGAATTTAATTTATTTTACCTGCAAAAACCTCTTCTCAAATCTGTAATTATAAGTATTTAAAATTTTAGATGGGTAAATAAATTCATTTTTATTTCATATATGAAAAATTCTTTGCTTTATCTATAGATTTATTTGATGTTCCAAAGTTATACAGAATTTCCAGAGATTACTAAAAATTAGAGATGCACTATCTAATCTTTAAAAAGATGAAAAAAAAGTCAAATTTTTTTTTACATATTTCGTTTAGACTTAAAAAATATTGAAAATATTAACAAAATAAGATATTTAATTAAAGGTTCTTGGTTATGAGTATATTTGATAGAAAAAGATTAAGGAGTTAATCTTAAATTTAAGTATAATTATTGAATAATATATGATGATTATTGATTAATAATGATTTATTGCATTATCTCATGCTTTAGCTATTCTTCCATTTAAGAAATCTAAGAATGGTGGAGTTTAAACCACTTATAATGACTTTGCAAGGACTGCCAATTCTTATTAGACAGAAGACTATTATTAAGTAATAATAATGAATTACCACAATATCATCATGAATTTTAAGATTGGCTGAATAATTGTTGTTTTCGGTTCTTAATCTATCTTAATAAGCTTTTAGATCAGCTTCTCTAGTTGAGATCATAGTTTCAACATCTGAAATTCTAACTAAAAAAATTAAATTATATGATTTAACCTGTTTTATCTTCTCTTTCTTGATAGAAATCAGCATATTATTAATCAAAAACAGCCTTTTCAGCAGTCAATTATTATCTTCTTAATTCATCCTATTATTTTTGGCTATCTTCATCTTTATAAGCTTTAGTCAAAGCATCAAAAATGTTCAATCTTAAACTATTCAAGAAATCACACATTTCCTTTAAAACTTATCTATCTTTGAAATTAAATCCTTCAGTCAAATTAGTTAAGGCTTAGATAAATGAAGAATATTGATGACCGAAATTCTCAGTATTAGCTTTGACTTATCTTAATGCCTTATTAACTTTGTGTTTTTATTCATCTGTAACTTCAATGAATGCAGCTCTTACTTCTCCACTTTTGAATAAATCAGTTAGTAAATCTAAGGCTTCATCAATATTTCTTAAAGCATCAGTAAATTCAGTAGTTGTTAATACAAATGAATTATGTTAAGTATTTCTAGCAGCTTCAGCTTCTTTAAAGGATTATGCATTATCTGTTTATTTAGCTTTAAGTCCTAATAAAATCTAGAATAGAAATTTGATTTATAATTTACATCATCTAATTCATGAAGTCTAGGAATCAATTCACTGTTTAATACTTTCTTTTCTCTATTAATATCGAATTCAGCTTAATTGGCTTATGAACTTAGGGAAATGACTTTTGCATTATGTTCACTTTCAACAACTTCCCATTATGTATTTTCTAATTTCAATCTCTCTTCAATTTGACGACCAAATGCTTTTACTCCTTCTACTAATGAATCAACAGCTCCAGTAACTCTCATTGTTACTTCAGCTAAATCAATAACCATATGTCCAATCTTTGATTATGTTAATTCATCTATTGAAGATTACAGACCTGGATTAACATATGAATCCATAACTCCTTAATTACTTTATTAGTTAACTATGAACTTCATACTTTGTAATTGTAGTTGTTGAAACTAAACATATCAGAGCGAAGAGAACAATCTTATGATGAACCATAGATGAATTCGTTTTTTATATAATATAATATTTTGTAAGTTTATAAAAAATGGAATGTGAATACTCTTATTTGATAAAAGTAGTATAAAATAATAGTGAAGAAATGATGGAATAATAAATAACTATGGGTTTATAAGGTAATAATGATTATTGATCATATATTAAGTATTGATGTAACTTATATTAAATTGAGAGTTTTGGAGATTAAGAATGATGAATAATAATGTATAAGGTATGATGAGAGAGTCTTACATAATCGAGATTAGTAAAATATAATTAATGAGTTGAATTAAAATAATATGTGATGAAAAATTTGAATTATAGTTAAAAAATGAATATTAGAGTTAGTTATTATATATATAATGAAAGTCTTAATATTGGTTTTGTTAGTTTTGAGTGGTGAATTGATAGGTAAAGAGATCAATGTAGGTGATGATTATGAATGCGAATGTTTACAACTTATGTTGGAGAATGATTGTATAAAGTAAGGTTGTTAGTGGGTAAATGGGGAATGTAAAGTGAAGTTAAAATAAGGAACATAAAATGAAGTAGATAGTGATACATTTTGTTCTCAATTTGATAAAACAAATTGCAGTAGTTAATCAGGTTGCGCAATTTTGGTAGAGAAATGTGTTGAATTTAGTGCATGTAATAGTTATTAACAAAGCACAAATGAATTGTGTTAAAATATATCTAGGAAGTGTATTACAGATGGAGAGAAATGTGTAGAGATAAGTGAATGTGGAGAATATCAGACATCAATATCATGTAAATAAGATACAGAAGGGAACTATTGTTATTGGGATAATGAGAAGTGCGAAAAGAGTATAGAGTGCGTTCAATTACCAAAAAGCTTAAAAAGTGATGAAGAATGTAGGGCTGTGAATAATGAATGCACAGTATCATCATAAGGTGGGTGTTAACCAAGTGGATGGAATTGTTAAAATTAAGAAGGAGAATTATAATGTGTTTGGGATAAATTTATGAAAGTAAGATGTAATTGGAATGGTATTACTTGTGTTGATAGATCATGTTAATCTGCTCCTATTAGTATTAAGAGTAACGAAGAATGTAAATCTTATTTATAAGGATGTATACTCATCAAAGGAGGTGGATGTGATGAACTTAGAAATTGTAAAGATATTACTACTAGTGAAGCATGTGATATTGACAAAAATGGTAAATAATGTTATTGGTAATCTGAATAATGTATTGAAAAACTTTGCAATAATGCATCCTAATTACTAAGAACATTTGAAGAATGTCAATCCTTTTTATAAGGTTGTGTACCTAGTTTAAAAGGTGGTTGTTAAACATATAATAAATGTGACGATTTTATTGATCAAACTACTTGTTAAAGTGGTTTATTGAATTGTTTCTGGAATACTAAATCTTGCGTTTCGTATAGTTGTAATAGTGCATCCAAAAAATATAATACGCATGCTAAATGTTCAGAATATAAAGCTGATTGTACAGTCAATACTTCTAAAGATGGATGTTAAGATAGAACTTGTGATAATGCTCCTAATGAAATTAAAAGTAATTATGATTGTGAATAATATAAATCTGGATGTATCACTAAAATTACTGGGGGATGTGTCAAAAATTAAGAATGTTCCAATATTATGCTAAAAGAAGCATGTCTTTTAGATTAATAAGGAAGAGAGTGTTTTTGGTATCAAAATTAATGCAAACTAAAAATATGTCCTAATGCTCCTAATGTATATAATACACATGAACAATGTTAAACATATTCTAAATTATGTACTGTAAAGAAGACTTTAAATGGATGTGTGGATATGACTTGCGAAGCCATCTTCTAAGAAAATAATTGTAATAAAGATTAATCAGGTAATCTTTGCTATTGGACTGGTTTATGTTTTGATAAGACTTGTGAAAATGCACCTGTTAATAATAATTTCGTTACTGATGCTTAGTGTAAATCATATTTAAGCAGATGTACTGTCAGAAATACTGGTATGGGTTGTATGGATAGACCTTATCAATGCAGTGAAATGAAAATACCATAATAGTGTATAACCAACTTCTATAATGTTGAATGTGAATGGTATGGAGATTCATGTAGGAAGAAAGAGTGTTATACAGCATCTAGCGGACTTACAACTTATGAGGAATGTAATGCCTATTTAAGTGGATGTACAACTACTGGTGGTGGATGCTAATCATTAAATAATTGTGATCAATATACTAATTCTAATAGTTGTAGATTTGATGTCGATAACAATATTTGTCAATGGAATAATGGATTATGTGCTAATAAGAGTTGTTAAACTGCTGACAATACACATACCACTAATGATTTATGTAATACATATCTTACAGGTTGCATTGTTAATAATAGTGGAAATGGATGTATTCCTAAACCAGCAAGTTGTGCACAAATGATAACTGCAAATTAATGTACAGCAACATCAACAAATTCTTCAGGTGGTCCTTGTGCTTGGATTACACTTTCTTCAATATGTGTAAATAGAACTTGTAATAATGCACCAGCAACGGCAGATTATAACACTTTTACAAAATGCAATTAATTTTTAGATACCTGTACAGTTGTTGCAACAGGAACGGGAGGATGTATGACAATGGTAAATAGTTGTAATTTATATACATCTCAAAGGTAATGCGAATAGATTTTGAATGGTAATAAATGTTCATGGTATTTAACTTAATGTTTGGATAGATAATGTGTATATTCACCTGATACATCTAGTTATGATGATAAAGATGAATGTCATAGTTATGATAATCGATGTAATGTAGTACGTAGAATTGGTGGTAATGGTTGTACAATTAGAAAAGGTAGTTGTAATGAATTATCATAACATTAATGTGTTAAAGATAGTGCTGGTACAATTTGTACTTGGAATACTAGTGCAGATCCACCATATTGTTTAAATAGAAGTTGCAGTTTAACAATAGGTATAATTAGTTTCACTCCAACAAATTGTGCCAACTGGTTACCTACATGTGTCGTTAATAATGTATCAACTCCAACAGGTTGTATGGCATTATAATCTTCTTGTTCATCTTATTAATTTTCAGCAAATTGTACATAGACATCTTTAAATGTTTAATGTTATTGGAATGGATCAAATTGTATCAATAGATCATGTTCAACAACTTAAGGAATCACAGATTTTGATCATTCATCATGTTATGCATGGATGACTACATGTACAGTAAATAAACCAACAACATGTGCAGATAAACCAACTAATTGTTCAGATGCTATAAATTATGATTAATGTTATAAAAATATTAGTGATTAATTGTGTGCATGGGTAGGTACATCATGTGTAGATAGAACATGTAATAATCATGGATATGCTGTTACTGTATTTAATAATGCAAATTGTTCAGGATGGATGCCAGAATGTTCAGGTAATCCCGATTAAAGCGCTTGTGAAATTACAAGAACATGTACTAATCATGGTTCAGATGTAACTACTTTTACTCATGACAATTGTGCTGGTTGGTCTCCATTATGTACTGTAAATTCTACAAATGATGCATGCATTGAAAGAACTTGTAAGAATTATGGATTAATTGTAACTGATTTCACTGATGTTAATTGTAGTAATTGGTTATTCAAATGTAAGTCTAATAGTGATCATACAGCTTGTATTAGTAGTAGAACATGCACTAATCATGGAAGTGCTGTCACAGTATTCAATCATAATAATTGTAATGAATGGTGGGATGAATGTACAGTAGTAGGATCATCATGTGCTTAAAAATCATGTTATAATCATTCCATTACTTAATTTACTCATACTAATTGTAATGATTGGTATTATTAATGTACTGTTGCAGCAGACTCATTAAGTTGTTAACCAAAGACTTGTGCTAATGCTAAATTAGTAACCTATTCATCAAATACTTGTTATACTTGGTTAAATACTTGTACTGTTAATTCTGATAATACTGGATGCATTTCAAAAAGAACATGTTAATTAACTGATTTAACTACATTTAATTATGCCAATTGTGTCGCTTGGTATAATTAATGCACTTATTCTTCTGGATCTTAATGTATTGATAAAACTTGTACTAATTATAGTAGTAATTTAAGTATTCAATCTCATGTTACTTGTGAAGCTTGGTTATAAAGATGTACCTATGTTTCTAATACAAGTAATTGTGGAGATAAAACCTGTTACAATTATGCTGACATCTTTTATATACAAGATCATGCTAATTGTAATAATTGGCTCAATATTTGTACATCCAATGGAATTACTTGTGAACCTAAAACTTGTACTAATCACGGAAGCTCTGTTACTGTTTTCAATAATGATAATTGCAAATCTTGGTTAAGTTATTGTTAAGTTAATGTTGATGGAACAGCTTGTGAAAATTCAAGAGGATGTCTACCAACATTACCACTTTATTCTCATGTTACTTGTGAAACATATAATCATCTTTGTACCAATAATGGTTCAAGTGCTTGTAAATTTAAATCTTGCACTGATACTAATCTAACAACATATAATCATTCATTCTGTTAAGCATATTTATCAGATTGCACAGTCAAATCTAATTTCAATGGATGTGAATAAAAAAGTTGTTACAATCATGGTGTTTAAGTTAGTACATTATCTCATGCTAATTGTTAGACTTGGTTATTTAATTGTACTTATTCTGCATCCTCAAGAACATGTATTCCTAAATCCTGTACAAATCATGGAACTAATGTAACAGTATTCAATAATACTAATTGTCAAGCTTGGTGGAGTGCTTGTATTGCTAATACTGCTGGTACTGCATGTGTCAATATTCGTACTTGCGCTACTGCAACATTAACTACTTACACTCATTAATATTGTGAAAATTGGTTATCTAATTGCACAACACAAAGTACAACTAATTGTTAAGAAAAAACATGCGCTTTAGCTGCAACTAATAATTTAATAGCATATGATCCCATTACATGTGAAATTTGGATGAATACATGTACTAGTAATGTTGCTCAAAGTGCATGTATAAATAAAACATGTTATAATCACGGTGATTAAGTAACAAAATTTACAAATGCAAATTGCAGTGGTTGGTTATCTTATTGCGCTGCCAATTCCTCTAATTCTGGTTGCATAGAAAATAAAACATGTAGTAATGCTGTAGTAAGTTCATATAATAACACTAATTGTAGTGGTTGGTTATCTACATGTACTGTAAATAGCACTTTTGATGGATGTATAGATAAGACATGTTATAATTATGGATAGAATATATCTAGTTTCATACACACAAACTGCAATAACTGGTTATCTTCTTGTACTAATCTATCAAATACTGGTTGTCAAGATAAAACATGTAGTAATATAACTCCAGCAACTTACACATCAGCAAGTTGTTCAACATGGTTATCTTATTGTACAGGTAATGATAGTTAAACAGCTTGTATAAGTACAAAAACATGTACTAATTATGGAAGCAATATTAAAGTATTGAATCATAGTAATTGTAATAATTGGCTTTCATCTTGTACTATAAATAGTAGTGGAACTGCTTGTGAAGATAAATCATGTTCAAATGCATCTCCAACTTTATTATCATATGGACCATACAATGATTCTACTTGTAATGGTTGGTTATCAAGTTGTACTGTAAATACAACATTTGATGGTTGTATAACTCGAACATGTAGTAATATACCATCTTATATTACTAAAAACATATCAAATTGTTAATCTTGGAGTTCTTTTTGCACATACAATTCGTCAACTTAATTATGTGTAAATAGAACTTGTACAAATCATGAGTCTTTTGATTTGAATTCATCTAATTGTTCTAGTTGGCTTAGTTCATGTTGGTTTTATTCAAACAGTTCAGATTGTGAGACAATTAGAACTTGTTAAAATTTCGTAGGATCTGTATCACATGCTAATTGTGAAGCTTGGGTATCAACATGCACTGTTAAATCAGATAATAGTGGTTGTACTACTAAATTATGTGAGATGTATACAACAATAATTGGTACACCATATTCTTAAGCTAATTGTGAATCATTTCTATCCTCATGTAAATGGGATAGTTCTAATAATACATGCATTGAAAAGACTTGTAACAATTACTCTGGAACAATTAATTAAGCTAATTGTGAAGCTTGGTCAAGTAGATGTACTTTAAATAATTCATCTAATGGATGTACGTATAAAACAAGTTCAAATGCTATTACATCATTATATTATACAGAAAGTAATTGTAAAAAATGGTCAGAAGCATGGTCATTGAATTCAAGTAATAATCAATGTACAAGTAATTGTTATAATAATGGTTAACATTTTTCAGTTTTCAATCATGCAAATTGTAATGCATGGGATCCAAATTGTACTGTAAATTCTACAAATACAAATTGTACTAGAAAAACTTGTTAAAATTTCACAGGATCAATTTCCTTTTCTAATTGTTAGTCTTGGTTGTCAACATGTACAGCAACATACAATAACTCTGCTTGTATAGATAAGACATGTAATAATCAATACTAAAATATTAATATAAATTTTAGTGACTCTAAATGTAATGCATTTAAATCTGATTGTTTTAAAGATTCGAATTATAGTTGTAGGATTAAAAAATGTTCTGATTATAGTGATACCACACTTTCAAATTGTTAAACAAGATATTCACATTGTTTACTTGGATAGTCTGGATGTATAACTCATAGAACATGCTCTAATTATGGATCAAATGTCACTACATTTACTCATATTAATTGTGAAAATTGGTTATCTAGTTGCACAGTTAATGATACTGCTACAGGATGTACTGAAAAAACATGTTATAATTCAAGTATTACTACTGAACTTAAAAACTCATACAGTTACCCTACTGAAATAACAGATCTTTAATGTTCCTCCTGGAATGATTTATGTATTAATAGTGGTACTACTGCATGCAAAAATAGATAATGTTCTGATTCAGGTGCATGGTCAAGTTGTTCATCATATCTTAATTCTTGTAAAACTATCTCTAGCTTCAATTATTGTGATTATAAAACTTGTGGTAGTGCAACAAGTTTCTCCAGTGTAACTAGTTGTACAAATTGGTTACCACATTGTACATAAAGTTAAAGTCAGAGAGGTTGTCACTCTTAAAGAACATGTAGTGATTATGGAGATAATATAAAGATCTTCAACCATGTAAATTGTGAATAATGGAATCCATTATGTACAATTAATAGTACAAATGATGGATGCATTTATAAAACATGTTTCAATCATGGTATGACATCAACAAATACATAAAAATGTGGATAATGGTTATCAATTTGTAAAGCAAATGCTAATTCAAATGGATGTGAAATAAAAACATGTTCAAATTATGGTAGTGCAATTACTGGCTCATATAGTGCATATTGTCCATAATGGTTGGGTTAACAATGTACTTATAACTCTAGTGCATGTCTACCTAATAGAACATGTCAATAAAGTTACAATGGATACAATATCAGATATGATTCATATTATTGTCTAGATTGGTTAACTACATGTACACCTAATTAATCTTAAACTAGTTGTATTGATAAAACATGTACTAATCATGGATCAGAAGTAACAGTCTTCACACATGCTAACTGTTATAATTGGTATGACATCTGTACTAATGATGGCTCTTCTGCTTGTAAATATAAAACATGTTAAAATCATGGAGCTAATGTAAGTTCTCTTACTAGTGCTAATTGTCAAAATTGGTTAACATCATGTACATTCTAAACAGGTGAAAGTACATGTAATTATAAAACTTGTACTAATTATTCTAGTTTTACATTATCAGCTACTAATTGTTTTAATTGGAATAATTAATGCACTTACATCGATTATGCTTATGATTGTGAATATAAAACATGTGATAATTATGCCAGTACTATTAATGAAAACAATTGTAGAAATTGGTTACCATATTGCACACCAAATTAATAAGCCACTTAATGTGTAAGCACAAGAACTTGTACCAATCATGGAAATCAAATTACTTAATTTAATCTATAAACTTGTTAAAATTGGCTACCCTATTGCACTGTAAATACGACCAATGATGCTTGTATGGATAAAACTTGTGATAATTATGGCTCTTAATTGAGTACATTTACTAGAATAACATGTACTGGATGGCTACCTTATTGCACAAATAATTCAAACACTAAATGTGAAAGAAAGCATTGTACTAATTATCCATCTGGATTCTCACTTAGTAATTCTAATTGTTAAAGTTGGTTTAAGTATTGTAAAATAGCACCTTCAAATACTAATTGTGAATATAAAACATGTTCTAATCATAGTTTAAGTACTTTTAATCATACTAATTGCTCTAATTGGTTACATTATTGTACTGTCTCAGACGATGGTAAATCATGTGTTACAACTAGAACTTGTACTAATCATGGAAGTCAAATCACTGTTTTTAATCATAGCAATTGTTAATACTGGTTGTCAACATGTACAATTAATTCAGGAGGTACAGCATGCGAAACTAAAACATGTACTAATCATGGATCCTTTGTTACTACTTTCACTCATTATAACTGCTAAAATTGGAATTTTGATTGCACTGTGAATACTGGTAGTACAGCTTGTACTGTTAAGACTTGTGCCAATGCTACTGGATTCTCATTTTCTCATTCTAATTGTTAAAATTGGTTATCAATTTGTACTGTTAATTCATCTTATAATGCATGTATAAATAAAACATGCTCAAACACCACAGGTATCAGTCCATGGACTCATAATAATTGTGAAATATGGTTACCTAAATGTCAATTGAATAAACCTACAACATGCACAACATTATAATCAAATTGTAGCAATGCAGGTGTGTCATACAATTAATGTGTAATAGATACTGGTAATTATGAATGTGCTTGGTATAATGGTACTTGTTAGCGTAGAACTTGTGGTAATTATACAGGTACTACTTTTACTCACAGTGATTGTGAAAATTGGTTAGAGACTTGCACAGTAGAGGGAGGTTTATCACCAAATAATTGTGTAGTAAAGGCAACAAATTGCACAGATTTAGGAGTGACATAAGATTAGTGTGTAACAAATGTAGGTTTAGTAAATTGTGTATGGTTATCATCATGTTAGGATAGAACATGTAGTAATTATACAGGTGTAACATTTACACATACTGATTGTGAGAATTGGTTATCAACATGTACAGTAGATGGATTAAATGTACATGCAGGATGTGTAATAAAACCATAGAAATGTTAAATGATTTCAACTTAAGATTAATGTATAAAGAGTTCAGATAATACAATATGTTTTTGGACAGGTACATAATGTAAAGATAGAGTATGTGAAGATGCATCATAGAATGGTAGTTATGATGATGATACAGAATGCAAGACATTTTTATAAGCATGTACAGTAGGTAGGATAGGAGAATGTGTAAGTAAGGCAACTAATTGTTCTGATTATGTATAGTAATCACATTGTTTTAAGAATAGTAGTTAAGGAGTATGTTTTTGGAATTTGGATATAGGTAAATGTGCAGATATCAAATGTTCAAATGCTCCATTAAGTTTAACAAATCATACATAATGTTATGAGTTTTTAAATACATGTACAGCAAAATAAGGAGGTGGTTGTATGACATAGAATGGATGTTTAAATTATTCAGCAGAGATATCTTGTGTAGTAGGTTCAAATGGTGATATTTGTGCTTGGATTGGTGGAAGATGTTTCGTAAAATCTTGTTATACAGCAGCATTTGATAGTACACGTGATACTCATGTTGAATGCTAAGCTTATTTAAGTGATTGTACTGTAATCCATTCAGGTATAGGTGGTTGTGTTCCTTTATAAGATTGTTCAACATATTTAAGTGAGAGATAATGTGTAATAAATAACCTATATCTTCCATGTGGTTGGGATGGTACTAAATGTATGGATAAATCATGTCTTACATCTCCTAGATCTTACAATACACATAATGAATGTGAATCATATTTAAATGAATGTACTACTGTGCCTATAGGAAATGGTTGTTAATTTAAAAGTACAGACTGTTCACAATATCAATCCGAAAAATAATGTGTTATCACTATTTCTAATCAATCTTGTTATTGGAATCCAAAAACCAATTCATGCCAAATTAGGTCTTGCTAAAATGCTCCTGATACTGCTATCACTGCTTCATTATGTGAACAACACTATCCCTTCTGTTATACTGATTATATCTATTGTAGATAATAAAAATGCACTGATTTACCATATAAAACAAATGAAGAATGTTAAAAATATAATTCAAATTGCACATCTGATGGATAAACTTGCATTGATCGAAAACTCTGTTCTGATGTACATGTCTTAGATGCATGTAATACTGATATTCATGGAAATGAATGTTAATGGGTCTTTAAGTATTCATATTGTACTTTAAAATCATGTTCGACATCTCCTGATTACAATCTCACTGAATAAGATTGCTAACAATATTATCCTTAAGGAAATTGTACTACCAGATTAGGAGGAGGTTGCATTACTAAATCTACATGTGAAAATGCTTAATTAAAAGCAGCATGTACAACCTCTGCTGATAATAAACTTTGTGTTTGGGATTCCATTAAATGCAGATCATAAGTTTGTGATGATATTATAGGAACATCTGAAGAAGAATGTGCTCTTTATGATTGTGCATTCCAAAAATCATCACTCTTTGGTATTAAATGTACTACTAAAAAAAAATGTAATGAATTCATTATGGAAGACATTTGCCTTAAAGGAATAGATGGCATTTGTAAATGGTTTAATAATAGTTGTCATCGTTATATTGGTTGTAATACAATATCAAGTCCATATGATAAAGTTTGTAAATCTTTATCAAAAAATTGTACAACTAATGGAAATAAATGTGTTGGATTGAGCAAATGTTCATAATACACAATTTAAGAAGCTTGTACAATTGGGTTAGATGGAGATTGTATCTGGTGGTCAAATTTAAGTGTTTGCAAGAGATTCTTATCATGTTATGATTTACCATATTTAACTCATGCGGAATGTTATCAGATCTCATAAAAATGTACAACAGATACATAGAATGGATGCATTCCATTATTACTATGTTCATCTTATAAGTATAAGGAACAATGTAGAATTAGCTCGAATGGATAAGTAATTAAATAAAACTCGAATCAATAATACATAAGTTAAACTGGTTTTTGCACTTGGGATAAATCATAAAATGAATGTAGAGATCAATCTTGTGAAGAATTGAGTGGTGAAACACATGAAGCTTGTAATGCTTAATTGTATGGATGCACATCTGATTCTATAAAATGTGTTACTATAAGAGAATGTGATAATTATGAAAATGAATAAACCTGTCTACATGCTTAAAGTTCGAATGGAAAATGTGTTTATAATAACAATGCATGTACAACAATCTCTTGTAATGATATACCTTATGGTTACACTCATGAGACATGTTTAAGACATATTCCAAATTGTATATCAGATGGACAATTATGTATTGCGATTGATGTTTGCGCTAATTATGGAAATAAGTTTTCATGTGATTATGGAGGTCTAGATGGAACTTGTGCATGGGATGGTCAATAATGTTTAAAGGTTTTCTAATGTTCGGATTGTGATTAAGATAAATAAATTTGCTAATAGTTTTCAGATCAATGCAGATGGATTGAAGAACCATAAATCTCATCAGAAACATCTTGCGTTGCTTTAGAATGCTCAGATCTTATAGAATAGGAGTGTCATAATATTAATAGTATTGATAACACAACTGTCAAATTATGTATCACTCAAGATAGAGTATGCATCTAAGCAGAGCCAGAAGCTTATAATCAATAATCTTGTAGAATCAGTACCTTGAATACTTATTATTGGAATACTACAACGTCCAAATGCACTCAATGTACCAATCGTATTATTGAACAACAAACAGATATTAAAACAAATCAAGAAGCAATACTAATGATAATATTAATTAGTCTATTGTTCTGATATATAGTGTAAAATTAAATTAAAGAATTTTCTAAAAATATTATGAATCCTCCTCCTGGTTTAGATAATGATAATGATGAATCTATTGGTCCTCCACCTGGCATAGACATTCCTAAAAAAAAGAAATTTCACATCAATAAAAAATTAAGCTAACAATAAACATCATTAGAATCATTGAATCTTGAACTCAAAGTTACTGTGTAAGACTAACATTTCGATCAAGTATTGTCCACTTCTCAACTTCTAGATACCCATCACTGATGAATATTTAGAACCTTCAATGAACAATTTAATTGCATTTGATGGTCATATATGTGACACCTCTGGATCTGATTCTTTGGCACTTTGGGATAAGGATATGAAATTGAAAAGAGAATTTAAAGGATTAATTGAAAACATGCCCTATTCATTAGTTGCAGTACATGATAAAATTTATTTAATCTTCGGTGACACACTCCTTTTGATACAACCTGAAATTAATAAGAAGACCATTTTGATTGAATAACCACTTACAGCTTTTTGTGTTTCAGATCATACCAATCCAAGGTAGTCTCATATACATACCTAGAATTGTAGGTGTCAATGAAGGGGAAATAATCTTATGGAAAACCTCTAATTTAGGCAAACCCAATCTTTAGGAACCCATCTTTAATAATTTTGTCTCTAAGTCCCAAACATTGATTGAACTATAAAAAATCTTATCTGACAAGTTTGATGATTGTGATGATCTGTTAATGTTATAAAATGGATTAGTTTTTGCGAAATAAAAAAAAATAGGTGAAGTATTTATTGTAGATTTTGAAAATGATCAATTAGAAGAATTGTAAACTACATATGGTTGTGCCGTAACATGTTGGACAACCATATCATATGATACAATTGCATTTGCATCAAATGGTTAAATTGTATTAACTAAATTCTTATCAAATAAATAAGCAATTGTATAAATTGTATTGAGTTCATCCAAAGACGATATTCATCATGGATTGTGTTACTAAAATAATAAGATATTTTCAATAAATAAAAATGCTGTCGTATCATCTTGGAATATTCTTTCTGGAGAGAGAATTAAAACTTTTGATGTAAAATTCTGTCCTGGAGTATACTCTCTATAATTGATGAATTCTGATTTTATTATTGCTGAACATAAAGTGAAAAAGGATTTCATTCTATTGAATATGAATCTAGAAAAATAATTCTTCTACAAAGCAAGAGTTAAATAAGTCTTACATTGTTGTTCTAGTCCAAATGGATAATTCATTGCACTAGTCTAAAAATGTGGTTTACTTTATGATGAAGAAGTGATATTTCACATTGAAATTGAAATCTATCCACTTGAAAATAAATTGGAATTTGAACGAAGAAAAGAAATTGATAATTTAGAAATAAAGACTGTAATGTTTTTAGATGATTCAACCATTCAATATATTTTGAAAATCTCAAAGAGTGTGAATCCACTCCTTGTGAAATGGAATTATATAAATAATGAGTGGAATGAATAGGAAATGTTAGTAGAAAAATATAAGAGTTGTCAACTGTATTAGAGTAGATCAGCATTCAGTTATGATTTTAGATTAGGTTCAACATAATAATTCAATCTGTTTGGTCCGAAGAGAGTTGAAAATAATAATAATTTAATTAGTGGAATCAGTGTTTATGATGAGAATGTAAAAAGATTATTGAAAGTGTAATTCCAATAACAATTTAATGCAGATGTATTTGGAATGCCTTGTAAAGATTTACTTTATGTTCTAAATAATAAAAATTAAATAGAAGTTTGGTAGNATACCAATCCAAGGTAGTCTCATATACATACCTAGAATTGTAGGTGTCAATGAAGGGGAAATAATCTTATGGAAAACCTCTAATTTAGGCAAACCCAATCTTTAGGAACCCATCTTTAATAATTTTGTCTCTAAGTCCCAAACATTGATTGAACTATAAAAAATCTTATCTGACAAGTTTGATGATTGTGATGATCTGTTAATGTTATAAAATGGATTAGTTTTTGCGAAATAAAAAAAAATAGGTGAAGTATTTATTGTAGATTTTGAAAATGATCAATTAGAAGAATTGTAAACTACATATGGTTGTGCCGTAACATGTTGGACAACCATATCATATGATACAATTGCATTTGCATCAAATGGTTAAATTGTATTAACTAAATTCTTATCAAATAAATAAGCAATTGTATAAATTGTATTGAGTTCATCCAAAGACGATATTCATCATGGATTGTGTTACTAAAATAATAAGATATTTTCAATAAATAAAAATGCTGTCGTATCATCTTGGAATATTCTTTCTGGAGAGAGAATTAAAACTTTTGATGTAAAATTCTGTCCTGGAGTATACTCTCTATAATTGATGAATTCTGATTTTATTATTGCTGAACATAAAGTGAAAAAGGATTTCATTCTATTGAATATGAATCTAGAAAAATAATTCTTCTACAAAGCAAGAGTTAAATAAGTCTTACATTGTTGTTCTAGTCCAAATGGATAATTCATTGCACTAGTCTAAAAATGTGGTTTACTTTATGATGAAGAAGTGATATTTCACATTGAAATTGAAATCTATCCACTTGAAAATAAATTGGAATTTGAACGAAGAAAAGAAATTGATAATTTAGAAATAAAGACTGTAATGTTTTTAGATGATTCAACCATTCAATATATTTTGAAAATCTCAAAGAGTGTGAATCCACTCCTTGTGAAATGGAATTATATAAATAATGAGTGGAATGAATAGGAAATGTTAGTAGAAAAATATAAGAGTTGTCAACTGTATTAGAGTAGATCAGCATTCAGTTATGATTTTAGATTAGGTTCAACATAATAATTCAATCTGTTTGGTCCGAAGAGAGTTGAAAATAATAATAATTTAATTAGTGGAATCAGTGTTTATGATGAGAATGTAAAAAGATTATTGAAAGTGTAATTCCAATAACAATTTAATGCAGATGTATTTGGAATGCCTTGTAAAGATTTACTTTATGTTCTAAATAATAAAAATTAAATAGAAGTTTGGTAGATCAATACACAATAATAGATTTAGAAAGGTATTTAGATATGATTAAATAGTGTAGCGGATTGTAGGCCAAGTTTAGTGAAATAGATAAAATTCAGTGAGCAATATCTATTTTTGAATGGGCAATCTGAATGGATAATTAGAGATTTGAAGTTGAGTTAGATATGCAAGAGTAAAGGGGGATTGATCAATAAGTGTTTGTTCTTGAATTAGAAATGTATAATAAATCAAAAGTAGAATTTATATGTATGGGATTTGGGTAGTAATTAATGCAAGGAAATAGAAATATTCTTAGTGTACGACTTTTGTTTGGTGTAGAATAATAAGATTTTGGTAATAGGAGAATCGACTATTAAATAGTTGAGTTTATGATTTAAGCAATATATGTATAGATAGAAGCTAATTTAAATATAATTAAAAGAATGTGTGATGATTCTCGATACATTTTGGATGAGTTATTTGGGAAGGAGAGAAATGTTGTAGCAAGTAAGAGAAAGAATGATGCTCACTATTGGAATGAAGATGTGTGTAAAAACATCTTAGTTTCTAAATGTTTTAACGACTTATGGAAACATACAAAATATGATCATGAGGGAGAGTGTAGCAAAAGACATGATCAATTCTTTATTAATGAATTTAATTGTGATCGTAGTATTAAGAAGTAATAGAGAGAGAAGAAATACATTGAAGAGGCAATAGGTTTAGTATGAACCTGATAATTATGTTAGCTTACATCCAAGACAAATTGAAGGAAGTAGACAAGATCTTGACTAAACATGAAGAATAAGTTGAATAATCTAGTAAACTATAAGTAGCTGATCGACCAAAAGAGATCCAAGATAGACTTGACAATATGGAAAGATAGATCAATCTCTTGACAGATCAATCTGAAAAGATGGGAGAATAAGGTAAGATTGAAGAATCTGAGAGATTGATCATGGAAGCAGATAATCTTAAAAAAGCCAGAGAAGACGTATTACTTGCTTATGAGGGTACCAATAATCCATTTAAAACTTATAAAATATGTGAGGTGTGTGGAGCAAGATAATCTCTCTATGAGACTGAAAACAAAGTCAAGTATATTTTATTTCATTATAATCATTAGGACTCATCTAGATGGGAGAATTCATCAAGGATTTTCTACTATCAGAGTTGAATTATAAAAATTATAATAAAGAAGACTTCAATTAGAAAAGATTCTAGATGAAGAGGCTAGAAAATAAGAATTTAAGGAGGATATTGCTAAAGATGTTTAATTGGATAAAGAAAAACTTATTAAGGATAAAAAGGAAAAAGAAAGATCTAGAAGTAGAGATGTTTCAAGAGATAAAAGTAAGAAAAAAAGCAGTAAAAAGAAAAAGGAAAAGGAGAAAGAAAAAGAAAAAGAAAGAAGTAAATCAAGAAAGCATAACAAGTAAAAATATCTATTAATGTAATTTAGGAAACACCATAAACATTGAAATATTAAAAATATTTCCAATTGTGTAAATATTATTCTTTTTTTTTCCCATTTATTTTTTTTTTGTTTTCCATCTAAACCTTAAATCTTTATATATATATATATATTTTAATATAATATCAACCAAGGGTTTCAACAATGTTTGTACTTAAATTATCATCCTCAGATTTACTCTTTATTTTCAATACACATCCTATATTTTATTAAAATCCAATCTAACAAATCACTAATGCATTCTTAGCATCCAAATACTTCCCTGACAGTAATAAAGTATGAAACTTATTTTGAGTTTATATTTAATCTGAATTATCGCAAACTTAAAATCCTAAAATTTGTTAATTTCTAAATTCATACCGAAATGCTTTACTAATTCCTTTATTGCTATATCTGTATTCTTATAATCTAATTGATATGTAGCTGACATCTCTTATGATTTTAATGATTCCCATTCACTCTGGAATTTTCTATATTAAATTAACTCATAAATCTTACTTAAACCATTGTATTGGTAAGAAGAAGTCACTATATGTAATCATAAAGTCTTCAGTTTAATATTCATCCTAATAACTGGTGCCATTTTCATTCACAGTAAATGTCAATATACTTTAAATGTTAGAAGAAACTAATCTCAAATTTGGATTGAATTGTAAACCCACCAATATATTAGATGCACATTATGGTTGAATTTACTTAGCAGGTACAATTCTCTCAAATTAAAGATTTTAATTCTTTATTGTCAATTCCAAAGAAACATCATTCAATGTAACATTGTCTAAAGTGTTCTTAACTTTATATTCCAAAATTATATGATTATCAAAAAAGTGTTTTACTACTGTGACTAAATATTCACATTTTGAATCAGTCAAATTTATAGCTCTTGATGATTTTCTTAAAACACCATAATCACAAAAGATTGTACTCTCCTTGAATAATTTCTTATAAGTTTCAAATCCAGATTCAGCTTCATGAGTTTAAATTAATTCTTCTTCAACTAATTCTTATAATACTTCTGTCTTTTTAATTTTTCCTTTGTTTTATTCTGCATATGCCATAATCTTTTCTAATTGTAATACCTCTTCATTTGATTATTGAATTTCCTAAATGTTTTATTATAAATAAGCTTCAATAGCATCTAACTCTTCAATTGATAATGGATTATTTTCTTCTTTTGGTGCAGCTGATTCACTAACATAGAATCTTGAACGATTTCTGACTTCTTCATCAGGATCTTAAGCAGCTGCCTAAAGTAATTCAAGTAAATTAGCCTTTTCATTAGGATAGTGAAGTAGGAATTTACCAAGTACACCTACTGCTGCAGCTCTAATTTCAGCATCTTCAAGATGAAGTCTATTGTTTACAATCCTTATCACTCTTGTAGGACATTACTTTTTTGAAGCCTCTCTATTCAAAATACTCAACACACTTAATTATAAGGCACTATGTTAACAATCCTCAATGTAATCAGCTAATGCCATTATTGCACTTTCTCTTGCTTCAGGAATCTCATGAATAATAAATTCAAAGATTTCAACTGAATACTTTTTAAACTCTTATGAGGCTTCACATTTAAAAGTCTATTATAGGAAATTAATTATAGGTTTCCATTTAGTTGGTGAATTCTTTGCCAACGCTTTAACACTTCTAAGTACATCAATTTTAAATTCATCACTCATATCATTTAAATATTCATAAATTTGATTTAAGAGTCTCTCAATATTTGTCTCTTAACAAACCTTCAATAATATTGAAACTGCCAAAGATGACAATGATTTATTTGAATCTTAAATTAATGGTTCTATTTATGAAGGTTAAATAAGAGATCTTCTTATTGGATTCGATATCAATCTGTTTAATATTTTCAAAGCCACAAACTTATTGATCACATTACTTGATTACAAGAAGAGTGTCACTACTGAAACCATTTATTAAAGATCCTTATTTGAAAGGGATTTCAAATCACACAATGCTTTACAAGCTTCAAAAATCACAATCTCTTAAGATTTTAGTATTTATCTTAACAAATATTCAGTGAACAACTAAATATTAAATAATTCACACTTACTTTTTCATATTGTTGATCCAATTCATCACTATTGAGTATCTCTCTAATGAAACGTATTACCTACATGTTAGCAATAGGAACAAGAGTCTCTTTAGTCAATCCAGTTAAGATTTTCGTAAAAGTAACTTTGTCATTACTTTTTATTTCATGAAGTAATATTAATGCATGAAAACTATTTTATGGATATTTAGAATTCAGTCTGTCAGCTACTTCATTAGTCCACTTTCTTATAAAATCAGAACTTATTCTGAATATCTATAAACCAGCTATCAATGCTGCACTTGATATTGGCTAACTCTTCTCTAAAATTGCCTTTATTAATATAAAATTATATTTCTTACATTTTTCAAATATCTGTCCAATTATACTAAATTTGATTAATCAAGAACATAGGGTAGTGTTCGTAAAGCATTTATTCTAAATAAATCATTCTTAGATGTAATGTCTTTGGCCAAACAACTAATTACTACATACATCGAATTCTCATCTTTGAATTCCTATAATTTTATCAAACCATAGTTACTTTAATCATCAAATAAATCATTCTTCTCAAATCCACATTGTTTGAAGAAAACAATTTTGTTATTCCAAAAAATAAACTCAAAGATTCTTAATCATTAAATTTCTCACCCTAAAATTAATTTATCAACATCAAAACATACTTAATTGATTAGATATATCAATTTCGAAAGTATTTATCTGCATTTCTTGTCTTATAATTAAGGATCATTAAAACACCTGGATTCTAGCAATACACTTGACTTTTGCAAATTGTGGTATGGTTCAGATTCTAAGATCATAAGTTTTATACTTACCCAATGCCTTCTTATCTTCACCACTCGGATTTGATAAAGTTGAGATCTACTTACTGATGATTTCCCTCACATACTATAATGTGGACATGTGTACTTTAATTAATTATATTAAAAAATATTATTTCTACAAATTATTATCTCACCTTTTACTTATATTAGAATCTCTGATTCACATTCCTAATCAATTAACTCATACATCATAATTTTAAATATATTTCTACTATTATTGTTACTATCTCACTTCATAATTTACAGTATCTAATTTATAATTTTTATTCAACTTTCTACTAATTAAATTAGAGCGATTGATTGATGATGTATATCTTATAAGTAATGTAAGTTAACTATTTGTTATACATTTTTATTTTTTGTAATCAATTATTTTTATTTTATTCCATTTTTATGATAAAACTTCATTATTCTTAAATTTGAGTATGTTTGAAACCAAAAATTATATTCTAGAAATATCATATACTTAATTAAATATTTTCAATATATAATAATTTTGAACCTACAGTTACCTCCAATACAACTTATATACATTTTCTCTTATATATCATTCTCGAATCTAAAAATAAATATCATTCAATCTGAACATCCTTATAGGCCTCTCTAAAAGGTTCTTACAATAAAATAAACAAAATAGGATAAGAAAAAAAACAAGTCAGTCACTACTATCATAACATTACTTAAATTAAGCAAAATAAGAAATTATATATCTCTGATTTACTCTAAACATGGTATTCAAAAAATAGATTCATAAAAGGTATTAATAATCATAATCTTTTTAATCAAATTGATTTGCTTAATTATTTTATCTAAGCCTATTTATATTATTTCATACTGTAAAAGCAAAGCTCACTTGGTTATCAAAAATATAGAATAAATTACCTCAATATTTCTCAGAGATATTATGAAGTTTTGATTAAACTTTAAGAGTGAAATTTTTGGCCTCTCGCTATTTGAAGAATTATATATATAATCAAAAAAAATATTTGATGAAATAATTGCTTTTATATGAAAAAGTTGAGCGAAAATTTGAAAAAATCTGAGACATATGATATGAAATTAAAGAATATTAATTAATTTGATAAAACAGAAAGTCTTTTTAGAATTATGATCTAAATAATAAGGTATTCTAATGATAGAGACGATCAGAAGTTATATTAAAAAAAGTTTCAGCTGAAAAATAGTTTTATATAGAAGGGGATTTAATGATAGTAAAAGATTTTACTTTTCGTTTGAAATTAATTTTCAAAATAAATGGTTCTTTCAAGTAAAGATATTATAATTAGATATCTAGATAGGATTTACTCAATGAATGATAAAATTCATCTATTTAATAAATAATACTAAAATATTGAATTGAGTATGAACACTTATTTTTATCTTAAGTTACAAGATTTACTATTTGTGCTTAATCATCATTTTTAATAAAATTTTAATTTTAGCAATTATGATTTACATAATTATGATAAAATGCTACATTAATTTAATTTGATAATAATTAAAGTAAAAGTAAGTAGAAAGTTCTATATTAATTAGATATTCTAAATTTTAGTGAGCATAATCATCTAATTGATTGAAGGATCTTTTGAATTCTTAGATTTTCATGTCTATAGAATTTGGTAATGTCATTAGAAATAAAAAAAACAACTTAAAAAAGGGAATGAGAATATTTGTTATGATATTTCATTAAGAAAGTAACAATCTTGAATAATTTAGGTAAGTGATTAGAAGAAATCTAACTTTGAATTGTTTTTTTTTGGTTAAAGGAAATGAATAAGATTGAAAAATAAAATTGGAGAATATTTAAAAGAATAAAAAATAATCTAAGCATTAAATTGTTTGAATTACATTCTTGGCTATTTTAATTCTTGGATAGAAATATATATTATTGATAAAAATGAAATCTAATCCGTTAATATTGCAAATACAAATAAATAACTAAAAAATTTAAAGTTTTTAAGAATAAATTATGCTAAATTTCGGATTCTGAAAGATGAAATTGTACAATATTTTGTCTGAAATGGAAGAATAGAGGGTGATATGAATATAGTTCATATAATTTTTAGTTAAAAATCTACATAAAGAACAGAAAATTGAGAAGCCTTAATTGGTAAGGATAGTAAAATCCGTCAAAAAATAAATTATAAACTATGTTGATTGTAAATATTTTTGTAGTGCATAAAGAATAAATGTTTTTCATTGTTTAAGGTTTGTAATTGGTAATTTTTTTTAAAGTAGATTCTAAATTTTGAATAATCAGCTTAACAAAAGAATGATTTCTTATGAATTAAAATAATTATGTTACCTTATGAGAATTCTCTTTTCACTGTTTAAGTAATCAGGAAGCATTTCTTTAAAGACAAAAACTATTCTTTGTATTTGTTCCCTGATGAACTTGTTATGACTGATGTATGAAGTACTTTTATATTGATTAGGACATCTCTAAATAACCTAAGTACAATCTTAAGATGAATCTCACAACTACAATAAAGTGGATTCTTGAAGAAAAACGTATAGTGGGTTTCGAATTTTCTTATAATAATGGATTTAAGATAGTTTACGGACCCAAACTAAATTTACTAAAAGAAATGATAGCTGGAAAAATATTTTATCAGCCAATTCTTTCTTTTTATCAATTTTAAATGGAAATGGGAAGTGGTATGACAGGATCTGTCTATAGATGTGTTGCTGCAGACAATGCCAATTTATACTACGCCATAAAAAAGATTGACAAATTGAAGATAGCTCAACATGAAGGTGGAATAGTAAGAATCTTCATCAATATTATATTTATTAGCCGTAATTAGTTCATGAACTCTCTCTATTATCTATGCTATCCCATCCAAACATAGTCAAACTCAAGGAAACTTATGCTGACAATTAATATTATTACATTATAATGGAATATATCAATGGCAGAACCCTATATTCTGAGCTCTCTAGTAGGCAATATGGGCTGTCAATTGCAGAAACTATCAAAATTATGAGAGTTAACTATTTTCAATAATATTTTAGGAGCTATTGGAAGCCGTTTCATACATACATGACAAAGGAGTAATGCACCGTGATATCAATCCACTCAATATAATGAAAGCTGACACAGTAAAATTAATAGATTTTGGCTTGGCGAGGAAAATTAAAAACCAATTGAATTTTCCAACGTCAGGCACACCTGGATATATGGCACCTGAAATAATCAATTATAATAAGGATAAATAATATGATGAAAAAGCTGACATCTATAGTCTTGGATGTCTACTTTACAAACTGTAATAATTTTTCTATAATATTAGATTAACTGGAGAAAATCTCTTTAACTCTAAATCAGCTAAATAAACTATCTATTAAGTTAACAAAGATGGGTTTTTTGAATTGAAAAAGCAACCTTAACATCCTGAAGCCAATTCTATGAAAATGGAGCAGCTCTTTGTCTTGTTGCCATATATGCTTGAAACTGATCCATCGAATCGTTTATCTGCTAAAATTTGTCTCACTATCATCGAAGAGATTGATAACAACAATTAAAACATAGACAGGCTTATTAAGAAGATTTTAGTTAGAAGATCACTCAATACTACAACTATTGAAGAACAAAGAAGTTGTGAACGTCTATCGAAAGGAAAGATTGCAAAATAATCTATTGATGGAATCTCTAAAAAAAGCTTGGATGAACTCTCAGTCTTTACAAAAAAAGTTATGGTTTAGAATCAATAAAAAGTCATTCTCCCTCATAAAAAGTAGGCTTGACTCTTGAATAAATCATAATATATATTTCAAAGATTAAAATACACTTTAAATCTATTTAAATATATTTAAATCTACTTTGCTCCAATCAAAGATTTCTTTGAGAACGCTTATTGCAAAAGTCAACACAAATGCTTTTAAAATTATGACAAAACTCACTCAAAAGTCTTTTAAAATCAAGAGAAAAATCTAGATTTTACATTAATCCATAAAATTTCTTATTAATTGATATTGGGAAAATCAAGTGCAAGTATTTAATCAAATAGATCTACATTCCTCCGAGGAAATTTAGTTAAATAAAATATCTCTTGAAACCTATAATAAACTAATATTGCAATTTTTTACCAAATAAAATTCTTAATCCTTCTCATAATATTTATTCATCTACTCAAGTCTAATCAAAATGTTATTCTTATTAATACTCTAATTTATTTATTAACCTTGTTATTGCATCTTTTATGAGAACAGACAATTACGAATTAGGTTGCTGCTAATATAACCTTTTAATTTATACACAAAAATCAACTAAAACCCATTTCTCCAATTGATCCCAACATCAACTCATAGTAATCATAGATGATGGTTGTTTATTTTCTGCTTATTGCAACCCTCATTTGTTATCTTTCTCAATGAATCACTTCATTTAATTATATATTTTCTTGTTTGTGTTTAATAGTAAAATTAATTAACTAAAAAATATCGTTCTAAGAATTATTTTATAATCGCTATAATAGAAGATAAATTCATTCTACAGATGTATCCATCGTACGAGTTTTGCCAGAACCCGTTTGATCCTAACCCAATATAAAACTACTTTATATCCAAATGATAAGTCGATATCTTAATAATAATTCTAAAAGTCAAAACCTTATTTATTACGTTATATATATTTCCAAAAACAATAATGAATAATTTAACAAAAAAGATAAAATTTTTTAAAAAATTATTATAAATTTTTCCCTATATAAATTTAAAAATCAATCTCAATTTAGAATGAGCCCCAAGATAATTGTTGATAATCCAAGAATGTAAGCAGAAACTGTATTTGTTACATAACCAAGAGTAGATGTATTACCATTATTTTGTTGAACAACAACAGCGGTGCAAACTCCACATTTACTTGTTGAGGCATTCCAAGTATATGTATATCCAGAAATTAAGAGGCAATCATTGGATGATAATGTTGATGGGTCTGATGCATTGCATGATCCATTGGCAAGAGTACAAATTTATTGAGTCTTTTTATCCCAATTAAAGAATCTTGTGCATGGTCCATTAGTAGCTTAGTTAGTAGCACAAGTGTGAGCTGTGCATTTACTCTATACAGCAGTGGCTCCGGATTCAGATGCAGATGTCCAAGAACATCTATCTCTGGCAGCTTAGCATGCAGTTTAATCATTATTGGCGGTTGTGCATGCAGTCATTAAAGCACAAGTACCAGTACCAGCAACAGCTCCAGCGGCAGTTGATTAAGTGAATACACAAATACCATCTAAACCACCTGAATTGCATGTTATCTTTGATGTATATGTTGAACAG